GGAATGCCGTGCTGGTGCCTGCGCCGGGCAGCGGGATCCCCGGGGCGCCTGCCGACTGGTGAGTCCACCCTTCCTTCTGGGCAGGCCTGACGATGGTGCCATGGTCTGTGGCGGGTCATGCGAGTGACCTGCCAGGACTGTCACAGAAAATGTTAAGTACCGTGAGCTGTTCAGGGAAGGGCCACCCAGCCCTAGTACTCCCCTCCATCTTCTTCTTGCCCACTGCAACCATCTTCCGCTCACAGGAAGCCAGCGAGCACTTATCACTGGCCAGGAGTCAGACAGACAGCCCTCCAGCCCTTGGCATGAGCACCTTGGACATGATTACCCGATCTCCAGACATTCTCATATCTTGGGTCGAAAGAAGGGTGTTTCCAGAGCATACTTGAAAAGGGCAGAAAATATGTCTTCTTATTTGCCCTCCTGCCTGTTTATTTTGACTCAACAGAGAGTCAGCACTTAAGCACTACATCCACAATGATCAGTCAGTCAGTGGATTGATCAGTCTGTCCTAATGCCCAGAAGAAACAGCATGGGATCCTGGGCTCTGGAGGCAAATCGATCCTGTCCCCTGTTCCTCCTCTAACCATAGCCACTTCCCTTCTTCCCATCACTAGAATGATTCTCAGAAGGGCTTCAAATAATCTGTGTTTCAGTTAATTACACGTAATTCATATGACTGTAGTTCTTTATATAAGTCACATAATTCCCATGATTTGTGTTAAGAAGGATGACAAGATCTGTGAAAATATCTCATTTGTAGAACCTGTATCTGACTCCACAGTGGTTCTCTTCTGCTTTCATGCCTCTGTCGTGTTTGGTTATTTAACAAGATGTAAAACACATATTTTGTTATGATTAAATATTGTTATTAAATTTAGGATCCCACCACCTGGAATGGAAACCCACATACCTGTTCTCTTCCTTGATTTGAACGGTAAGTTTGAACCTGACGTTCCAAGGCTTACCACATTGAATTAGGTTTGTAATCTAATCAGACCCGTAGTATTTTGACCCTTAAATCACTTGCCTACTCACGCGCATGCCATATTTAGGTGACATTTTTACTCCAACCAAATATATAAAGCCATGACATGTCGAATCACTAGAAGACAGATGTGGAAATTTATTCTTAAAAAGACAGCACTTGGGCTTCCCTGGTGGCGCAGTGGTTGAGAGTCTGCCTGCCGATGCAGGGGACACGGGTTCGTGCCCCAGTTCGGGAAGATCCCACGTGCTGTGGAGCGGCTGGGCCCGTGAGCCACAGCCGCTGAGCCTGCACGTCCTGAGCCTGTGCTCTGCAAGGGAGAGGCCACAGCAGTGAGAGGCCCGCATACCACACACACACAAAAAAAAGACAGCACTTGAGAGATTGAGAACTGCATACAAAGGCATGAGAGCAGTTATTGCTCTGAAACAGTAACGGACATGGAAATTACCTGAGAAGGTAATCACCCTTAGAGATCTGAATCTTTATGCATTGCAGGTGCCTAGGAATCTGCATTTCTGACTGGTGCCCTTTGCTCCCCACCCCACCCCCATTCGTTTTGTTTCTAGAACACGATCATCTGTAACCCTGCCTGAAGGGTTGTCCTTTACTATAGAAATTAGATTGAACCTGGGCGAATACAGAACAAGGGTTTTCAATGTGTTTTAGCAGTAAAATCCATTTTCAGTATGAACTTGTGAATGGAACCCCATGTGTGGAATACGAAAGCAGAGTTGCTGAGTTTGGGGATGGGCAGGCTCTGGCAGGCCTTTCTGCAGGGCCCTTGGGATCCTCAAAGCACAGTCTGAAAACCTGTCTTCTGGAGGGAAGACCAGTAATGGATGAATGGAAGACACAGGAGGTTGGCTTTGGCTCTTCATATGAACAGTTTTTTAAAAGCCTAGAAATAGACAGTTGCCTCATGAAGTGGTGAGTTCCCCATTATTGGAGGTTCCCCATTATACAAGCAAAGACTGGGTGACTATATACAGAGATTTGTGGAGGGTGAATCCTACACTGGGTAGGACATTGGAAAAAGATGGTCTTCACATTTCTCCCAAGTGCTCAGAACTTTGTTTCTAAATTGATAATTTAACCACCCAAATCTCTACACTTGATCTTAGCCAAAAGGCCGAGAAGCAATAACCACTCACATCTCTAATTTAGTGTAAGTTATGTAAGTAGGACCACAAACTTAACACAGCGTTATAGGAGGAATTGACAGAAAGCAGCAGAATTCTAAGATGTGTTTATGTAGTGAAAATATTTGCTCCCAGGACTACATATAGAATATATTCAGTCCATTTATAGGAGAGTCACAAAGGCACCTTTTTGGCTCCTGGAGTTGTTTCTGTAAAGGATAGAAGCTGTTGTAGTTAGTGGAGTTAACTCTTTCAACTGCAGGAATGAAAAACTAAATAAAATTGCATTATATGTAAACTTCATCTGTAAAAAGCATATTTAAAAATTTTGGATGCTTGCTTAAAAAATCTGTTTCCCCCACTTTTGCTTCTGTGCCCTGGACTTGGTCAGCGGATGACCTCAGTGCCAATGAGCAGCTTGTGGGCCCCCATGCATCGGGCGTGAACTCCATCCTCCCCAAGGAGCATGGCAGCCAGTTTTTCTACCTGCCCATCATAAAGCACAGTGATGAGGAGGTAACTGACCTTTAAGAATCTCTTAAAGGGCTTCAGATTAATGCATATGCCTGTGGGCCTCTCTGCCCATTAAACTGCTGTGGTATGGACTTTGGGAAAGAGGACTGGGAACTTTAAAAAATAGAATGTGTGTGTTGTCGAAAAGGCAAGGAGGTACTTAACCTGCTGATCCAATGGGTAAGACTCCGTGCTCCCAATGCAGGGGGCCTGGGTTCGATACCTGGTTGGGGAACTAGATCCCGCATGCATGCCGCAACTAAGAAGCCCGTGTGCCACAGCTAAAGATCCCACGTGCCGCAACTAAAGATCCCACATGCTGCAACTAAGACCCCTCCTCGCAGCCAAAATAAATAATAAATAAATAAATATATTTTTTAAAAAGGCGAGGAAAAACATCGATGATTAGATGTAGAGTTGCATTTATTTTCTTTCTAGTGCATGACGTAAAACTGCTACACCTGAGTTGTCTTGTTTCCATGTCCCCATCCTTCCCCCATCCCTAGGTTTCAGCCACAGCCTCCTGGGACTCCTCGGTGCATGATTCCGTTCACTTGAATAGGGTCACCCCACAAAATGAACGGATTTACCTGATAGTGAAGACCACAGTCCAGCTCAGCCACCCGGCTGCTATGGAGCTGGTATTACGAAAACGGATTGCAGCCAATATTTACAACAAACAGGTAGTAACGGGGCCTGATTTTGCCGTTTCATACATGAGCACAAAGTTTATTCCTTCTCTCTATCACCAAGTAGTGTTTTGGGGTGTTAATACAGTGGCTGTGCAAATCGCTACCAGGTTATAATCTGATTCTTATTTATCCAAGATAACAGGGTATGAGGATAGCAGGGGTAAATGTCATCCACCACAGGACTTTTCCACCTTGACTGCTTTGAGGCCCATAATCTTAGGAGGCAGTGGAGTTATGACATTTTACTGTTTGACAAAGGTTAAGCACCTGGTCCAAGAGGGTTAGTGACAAAACCAGGACAGAGGCAGGCTCCACATAAATCTCTGTCCTAATGCTTCCCCAGATCTCATCTCAGAGGTGCTGCCAGCAAAACTGATCCTCTGAGTTGACTTCTGACTGTGCCAGGATAGATTCATTAAACCCTGACAAGATCAAGTAGAAAGACGGCAAGTGGGAAAAAGGAGCAGCCACAGAAAAACCCTGGATGAGCTGCAGATTCTGCAGTCTAATCCCTAAATAACAGCTGGACGTTATTGTCCTTCAGGATTGGAGACAAGGATTTTTCCATTCAGTTTGTTTCTGTTTTACTAAGTGTTGTGTGTATATCAAAAACACAGTAATTGGGCTTCCCTGGTGGCGCAGTGGTTGAGAGTCTGCCTGCCGATGCAGGGGACGCGGGTTCGTGCCCCGATCCGGGAATATCCCACATGCCACGGAGTGGCTGGGCCCATGAGCCATGGCCGCTGAGCCTGCACGTCTGGAGCCTGTGCTCCTCAACGGGAGAGGCCACAACAGTGAGAGGCCCACGTACCGCAAAAAAAACAAACAAACAATGATGTTTGATGATGTTTGATGATGTTTGATGATGCTTTTACAATTTGTAAAATACTAAATAACTTCTATTTTCCACATCGCTTAATTCAGCTTTCCTTTTCTACCAGAGTTTCACCCAGAGTTTAAAGAGGAGAATATCACTGAAGAATATATTTTATTCCTGTGGTGTAACCTATGAAATAGTATCCAACATACCAAAGGTAAAGTATGTATTACTTTTTTAAAATATCAAAATGTGAGTATTGGAGAATGTGTTAAATCTCAAAACTTTTAAATCATTTTCTCACCACAGTTTTGAGAAAAAAGTTGTTCAGGTAAAAGTATTCTAATTCCCTTCTTGTCTCATTAGGCAACAGAGGAGATTGAGGACCGGGAGACTCTGGCTCTCCTGGCAGCGAGGAGTGAGAACGAAGGCACAGCAGACGGGGAGACGTACATCGAGAAGTATACGCGAGGCGTGCTGCAGGTGGAGAACATCCTGAGCCTGGAACGGCTCCGGCAGGCAAGTAACTGCAGCATCTGGACCAGAGGGTGAGATCACCAGCCTTCACCCCAAATGGACAAAGTTGAATGTATTTCCCAAACACCTTCTCTCGCAATCTATCAGAGAAGAAAAACTGATAGAGAGTAGCCCTCTCATTAGACAAAATAGTTACTTTGACAAAATAGTAACACAAATTCAAATGACTACCTTTTACTGAATACCGCCTAAGTAATATTGATACATTATTTCATTTAATCTTCAAGATAACCCTGCAAGGTAAATACTGTCATAATTCCCATTTGTAAATGAGAAAACTGAGGCTGACAGAAGTTAGCCCACCTGCCCAAGGTGACCCAGCTAAGAAGGGGTGCAAAGTTGGATGTAAACCCAGAAAGCTTGACTCCGAAGCCCACGTGCTTAACCACATATTCTCTCCCTAATTTTTGGACGCAGATTAACTTCTGTGGGAAAAGCAGGATATTCAGGTGAAAATAATCCACTAGGTAGTGGAACTGTACAGGAGATATCATTCAATCGAGACAGTAGCCAAAGTTATGGAAAGTGTGCTTTGAACTACAAGAGGACTAAGATTGGCGTTTGTCAGAAGAATCTTCCTTTAGTCCCACCTAAACTGCTGCACGAGTGAAACACAAGCAGCATAAAAGTTAATTTATGTAATTTCCCAAGTGAGATATATAGTTAATTGTATTTCATCCATGTTTTCTCTGCCCACCTAAATAAAAATCCACAACATAAATGTCTTTAGTTCTGCAGTTTTCCTGGTTTTATTTATGAGGAATGTTTTTGATAAATTAAGCACAAAAAAAAAAATGGATACAATACGATTACAGTTTTGTAAATATGGGGGGAGAGGGAGTGCATGATTGAAATGATCTTTATTTCTATACTTTCTAAATCCTCCACAATAAACATATATTACTTTTGTCATCAGAGGAAGAAAAATAAATGTCCTTTTCAAATTTGCAGGCAGTCACGGTCAAAGAAGCGCTTTCCTCCAAAGCTCGGCACCTGCGGCGAAGCCTCAGCACACCAAATGTTCATAATGTGAGCTCACCCGCGAGGGGCTGCCGCCCGCATGACGCATCTCAGGGTTTGGGGTGCAGCAAGTCAGGGGACCTCCGGTCGGGGTTTACAGGTGGGGATAGAACATTCGGCACCAGTGTGGGCATCCCAAGGTGCCAAGCCTGCTCCTCTTTTCTAGCGAAGCTTACCAGAGAGCCCTTACGTGTAACGTGCCTGAGCTTTTAGTGGAATCTTGCAAATTTCTCTCCATAAAGTTATGTCCTTGAAAGAAGTTTTTTGAGATGTAAATAGAATGTAGTTTAAGGATGGTCGAGTCAGGTAGAAATCCTGCTGCCAGAGCTGCTGAGTGCTGCTCTTGAGTCTGTTTACATTCCCCGTTCTAGCTGCCCTGATGGATCTTACTGTGCTGCCCATCAGGGTGATAGGGCACCAGACTCCTCCGTAGAGACCCTTCCATAGTGCCTGGTCTTTATTTTGATTACCTTCCTCAACCATTCCATCGAGGAAATCCAATTGACAGAAACTACATCCAGTGGAGGGGAGCGTTGTCATGGGAAGAAAGGACAGAGCAGTACGTGGACCACTGCAAAGTAGCCGCTTTCCAGGAGCAGCAGAGAGAAAGTCAGATCCTCTCAAGTAAAACTGTTATTTGCCTTCCCACTCTCAAGAATTGTCAGATAATGATTAAAAACACAGTAAACTTTTATGAAAGCTGTCTTAACAGTAGTCCGAAAAGCAAATCCCTACAATCACTTTCATGCAGATTACTTCTTCTGACCACAGTTCAGTTCTTAAAATTGATAACAGGAGACTCATATAGTTGTAAATTGAAAAAAGTCTTCTAATTAATTTAGGCATCAAAGAAGAGATCATAATGGAAATTAGGATGTATTTAGAACTGAATGATAATAAAACATGGTACGTATATCAATAGTTGAGGGATGCAGTTAAAGTGGTACTTAGAGGGAAATCCTTGGCCCTAAGTTTCCTATTATTCCATTTATACTGCAGAATACTAGATGGTAGAGAAAATGAAAGAGCTAGAGCTATTGTTAGGAAATTTATAGATCTTATATTATAAATGTTATTAAAATATTAATTATATTAAAAATAATGAGGAAAACATATATCTTTTAAAGTAAGGAAAGACCACCTATGAAGTATTCTACCCCCCCAAAAAAATTGAACCTAAGTGTGGTCAAGACTGTAGATCTAACTACTAATATTTACAGGGGACAGAGGAAAATGTTAAATGATACCACAGGGATTCATTTAACAAAATCCAGACTGTGGGAAACGTTACAGGAAAAAAATGATCTGGAGAAAAGGGAAAGCTCATAAATTAAAAAAGACTTACAAGATATATCATCCAGTTGCAGTATATTAACTATCTTGATCCTGATTCAAAATTAACTGTGATAATGTTTATAGACATTTGACCACTAATGAGATATCTGATGCTATTTAGGAATCACTTAATTTTTTTAAGATGTGATAATGGTATTATGGTTTTAAAAAGGGAGTAGGAATTTCTTATCTTTTAGAGATTCATAAAGAAGTATTTATGGATAAAAATATTTTAAATTAGAAAAAGAAATTCAGAATATTTTTAGAGGGTAATGATAAATATTAGAGCAGAATTATAATAAATTCAAATAAATAAGGAAGTAATAAATATTAGAAGAAAGAAAGAGGGAAGGAGAAGGTCATAACAGCCTTCAACTGTATGTGTGATATTTTATTTAGTTAGTTATGTTAAATATATAAACCACACTGATAAAATCATTCATCCCTTACAGGTCTCTTCTAGTCGACCAGACCTTTCTGGCTTTGACGATGATGATAAGGTGTGTACCCGTGGGCATGGCCAGGTTATTAGTAGAATCTAAGTCTGGAAAGTTAGGATATATTGGTGTTTTTAAAATCTCTGGACTTCCCACCTTAACCTGATGCAGATCATTGTCTCTACATGTCCATTTCCAAGTTCAAATACTTGATGTGAAATTGCTATGCACTCTGAGTGTTACATTGTTACTTAGCATGACACCTTCCATATCAGGATCATACGACACATAATTGAATAAATATCTGTGTGTTTATGGGTCTAACTGTAAATGACTTAAGAAGGTATTACATCCACCATAGCAAAATCAAAATTATTTCAAATGTGGAAAATTAGGAACTTGAAATTAAGGACATTTTACAGCATTATCATATTCAAATATTTCTTTAACATATATTGTATGTAAATTACTATTCTAGGGACAGTAGATGATTCAAAAAGTATAAACACAGATTATGTCTTCAAGAAGTTTAAAATCTAGTCCTTGGAGATAGACATCTCCTGAGAAGTTGAAGTAGGATTAACTAAGTTTATATGATTTATTATAAAGGAGGAGGTTTCTCCCTTTACTATACCAGTATCTTATGCCAGCTGGGAACTTTTAAATCTCAAGTATATGCAGAGTAATCGTACCACCAAGTTTGCCTGGGGAAGTTCAAGCTTATGCCTACTACCCAGGAAAAATATCAGTGGAACTGTTTTACTCTCAAAAGTGTTGTTATTTATTCACTCCAGGTATACCTTGGGTATGATTGCACTTGTCATATTGTTCAGTACTTTTCTACATGTTAGATCTATTTAATAATAAAAAATAAATGAAGAGCACATACTGCCATTAAAAAATAGAAAACAGCCCTCAAATCAGGCTTCATTTCTCTCTCTCTCTCTCTCTCTCTCTCTCTCTCTCTCTCTCTCTCTCTCTTTTGGCACACTGCCTGGCACATGGGATCTTAGTTCCCTGACCAGGTGTCGAACCTGTATCCCCTGCATTGGGAGTGCAGAGTCTTAACCACTGGACCACCAGGGAAGTCCCCATTTCTCATTTTAGAGGGACTTAATTACAGTTAACCCATGTTTCTACCTTGTAGGGTTGGCCAGAGAACCAGTTAGACATGTCTGACTACAGCCCCAGTTACCAGGATGTATCGTGTTATGGAACTTTGCCCAGGGATTCACCTCGAAGGAGTAAAGAAGGTAGTGGTGAGATTTTTTTCTGTGTTATTTCTTTATAATTTCTTAGGAAAGGCATGGGGGGAAATTTTTTTATAGATGACATATAATATGGTAGGAAGCTGAAATTCTAGTTTGCTAGATGATCCAAAACTGTCTTCTTGAATAGAACATATCCTGTTCACTTTTTTTTTTTGCTTTGTATCCATTATATCATCCAATTAATAATAGGCTTTTTGTGCAACACTTGTAATTTTCAAATCACATTTCATGTATCATTTCCTGATTTTGAAGTCAGTTTTGAGACACACATATCTTATTACATTATGGTTAGATTTCATTCTTTACCAAAAGAATATCCACCTCCGTCATGTTTTTGTAATGGAATCAAAGTATATTTTAGGAGAACATGTCTCTGGTCCCTAAGGAAATTTCAAAACTGATACCAGAAATGAATTTGATTGATGACAACATTATTACCTAAATATAATATATAATCTCCCATTGCCCTCAAGGGAACAGCATTCTTAGGATATGTAAATCGGCTCTGTTACCTTACTTATCCCTTATATTTTACCTACTGTGTGCCATTGTACCAGTGAATTGAGGAGAAAATATAGAAGGAGATAGAGAAGCCCAAAAAGGTAAGAAATGAGTAAAAGCAAGAAAGAAGAATCGTCCTTCTTTAGTCATATGGAGCAGGGTGGCTTGAGGGAAAAGTGACTTGCAAGAAGACTTACACAGTGCTCACTCATTGGGTATGTATTGAGCCTGTCCTTGCTATATGCAGTGACAGATGCCGAGATCTTAAAATCCAACTGTGGACGTGTACATAGAAAATAATAAGTTAGGAAATGATAAAATGCCAAAATGCATGTATAGATTATAAGGGCTCTGAGAATTCAGAGAGTTAGAAAATCAGCATGGGGGCTTCCCTGGTGACACAGTGGTTGGGAATCCGCCTGCCAGTGCAGAGGACACAGGTTCGAGCCCTGGTCCGGGACGATCCCACATGCCGCAGAACAGCTAAGCCCATGCGCCACAACTACTGAGCCTGTGCTCTAGAGCCCATGAGCCACAACTACTGAGCCCGCGTGCCACAACTACTGATGCCCGCGTGCCTAGAGCCCGTGCTCTGCAACAAGAGAAGCCCCTGCTCGCCGCAACTAGAGAAAGCCCACGCTCAGCAACGAAGACCCAACGCAGCCATAAATAAATAAATAAACAAATAAATAAAGTTTTTAAAAAAAGAAAATCAACATGAGTTGAAATTGGTCTGTAAAGTGATGCTTAAGCTGGATCTTGAAAAGAAGGTAGAAAATTTGGTTTCTGATTTCTTTGCTGCTGTCCAGCCCTTTGATGACTCTTTGTAACTTTGTAGATATATCTGCATTTTTGCCTACCTCCATTTTAATGCTCAGCCAAGTAGTCATCTCTGTGTATCCACGGGGGACTGGTTCCAGGAGCCCCTGCGTATACCAAAACAACCCGAGACTATGGAGTGCCGACTGGATATTTATTGAAAAAAAGGAAAAGCAGAGAGAGCATTTCATTCAGAAAGCATAGCATAAACAGCATATAAGTGGACCCACGCAGTTCAAACCTGAGATGTACAAGGGTCAACTGTACTCACATACTAATCTCTTTGTTACGCGAGATATTCCTCTGGCTTGGTCACTGCCTCGCTTCCCGTGTGTTGGTTAAAGTGCTCTGTGCCCGTAAACCCATGCCTTTTGTCTTCCCCAGGTTGTACGTCAGAGAATCCTCATGCCTTAACAGTCAGCCCTTTTAAAGCATTCTCACCTCAGCCGCCAAAGTTTTTCAAGCCCCTAATGCCTGTAAAAGAAGAGCATAAGAAAAGGATGGCGCTTGAAGCAAGGCCTCTTCTAAGCCAGGAGGTAAATGCTTGACTTGTCTGTACCATGTACAATAGAATGGACGTGTTATGCCTGTGGAGAAGGAACGCTGTGCATTAACAAAGTCAGATGCCACGTGTTGACATGTACGGGTTATCACTCCATGGTTCCTGTTCTGGAGTAAACATCTCTTTCTCAAGCACACAGGGTCATGGTAGAGTGTTTTGTTTGTTGTTACTGCTGTTGTTTTCTTTGTGTTTATGGCTTTTTTCAGAGTATTTATTTCAAGTGAGAAAGAGATGTCTCCTAGGTATTTTGAAAATATGAAAGGCATTTTTTTTATTTGATAAATTTGGTTATGCTATTTGCCATAGAATTTGTGTAGTCTTGTCAGATTTCATCAGTAGTTTGACTCAAGCCTGCACAGTTGTTGGCTGCACTACTCACATGTAATACAAGTGTTTGCATTGCTTTTCTAACATGCACGTACTTAACGTGTATGTCGGCCGTCGTTGTCTTCTGTGTGTGATGCATCTGTGTGTCTTAACCTTTGCAGAGCATGTCTCCACCTCAGGCACATAACCCTGGCTGCATTGTGCCCTCGGGAAGCAATGGCAGCAGCATGCCTGTAGAACACAATAGCAAACGTGGGAAGAAGATTGTAAGTCCTGGAACCATTTCTGTCATATTGCCTGGTGGTGGGTTTAAGGCCCTTTCACAGACAGTCATCCAAATACTTAAGAAATTAAGATCTGTATTGAGTCTTGGCTTTATTTTTAAAAACACGTGATCATCAGTAATGAAATTTTGCATGGATATGGCCGTGACCTGTGATTTTTCTAAGTGTTCCTTCTATTCATTTACTTATTATTATTTTGCTTAGTGTAAAGGAAAAAGCCACTTTTAATGATTCTCATCTTTAAAAAGCGTAACACAGAGATCACTTTAACTAATATCGAATCTTTCTAATGAGCCTGTGCATATTGCCCAGATTCTGAAGTTAATCTACCTAGAGGAATTGCACTTACTTGGAGTAAGTATTCTTTCGTTTAGCTGTGGGTGTTTGAGAGCTTTTTTTGTGTTGCCTGGTGCTATTGTCAAGATTATCCTGTAGTTTGTAGCCTCTCCACCATCCATCACTGCCCATCCTCATCATCTGTACCTCTCAGGTAGCCTCTTTTAATTTGCTGGCAAAATAGATTCCAACTCCCTCGTTGTCAGTACTGCTTTCAGGAGGGCTTACCTGTATTTTACTACTGGTAGGTTGAAACTCTACCTGAAAAACCTCATTCCCTAGCACTTGGTTTTCACATTTCAAATTGGAGAAAGAGTTTTTAAAACACTATGTACCAGGCACTTGGGATCATAAGCGATACCTCAGTTCAAAAATGCAAGTGTGTATTCTCATGCCTGGAAAGAATTCTCTAATTCTGTGTCTCAGCTTTCACTCTCCCGTGGTTTCCTAGGCTTTGGATGCAGCTTGGAGCTGGAGTGGGCTGCTTGATGTTCACACCTGCATGCAGTCTGCTCTGTGGGCAGAGTGTGGGCCCTTTCCTTTCCCAGCTGCACCATGTCAGACTCATTCCAAAGGGTCATCAGCATGAGGTCTTTTAACCTCTAGGTTCTAGAATATGCTGCAAATGCACACTGTGTGAAGCTGACTAGAACTTGACCCGGACCTGTAGCAGGCCAGCCTCCTGCGTGCTTGGAGCACTAGGGGATCTTAAGAAATGACCTTCTCACTCTTCCTGTCCATGGAAGAAAGAAGGAAAGGCATCATTTTCCCCTCCCCCCTCTGTCCCGCTCCCCGCCGCTGTCTCTGTGTCCTCCCTGTCCTTCTCTCCCAAAGCCCCCCTCCCTCCCCAGTCCCTGCTGGAGAAGAGCCTGCGCGCCAACGGCTGCCCCTCACCCCTCCCAATCTTAGTGAGCTCTTCAGTCACATACGTGACCTCCCCCTGCTTAATTGATAAAGGCTTCAGCATGGGCTAAAAAGGCCAGGTGGCTAATCTATTACCCTTTCCATTCTCTGGCTGGTTGGTTCTGTCTGTTTATTGACGTGGTACACATCACCATGCTGCACGGGCACTAAATTTTAACCTATTTTAACAGTTCGTTTTGGTAGAGCACACCATCAAGGGACTGCTGGATGGCCCTTCTGGGGCTGCCCAGCAGCTAGTTTCACTGTTCACAATTTGCATTATAGTTATGTTCTTTACTTTCCTTTTATTATTTTAAAATAAAACCCATCTCAGGACTTTTAGCTAGCAGAGGGTAGAATGGAACCAGATTCTCTTGGAAAAACCCAAGAAGTTTTGAGCAGCAGTTAGATTCTGTGTGATCAGACACACCATGAAACTCACTAAGCAGGGTTTGATGGAACCATTTTTCTTGCTGCAATCTTACTTGAGAGACCTGCCTCTACTCTCCTTAGAAATCTAGCTCACTGCACACTCTTCATCTCTGAAACTATTGAACTGTTTGATTTATTGCAGATAGCAGCTTTTCCAAGATGTTTTGGTAGATTATAAGAATATTACTTGCTTGATCTGAGGTTCTAGTCTCTCTTTTGGAATATTTCATTTTATTTATCTTCTTACAAATGGATATAAACTGCTTTATTCCTGTGTTCCCTATTCACTTTCTTTCCTTTTCCACTCTTGGAAAATTAGAGGGCGAATCAGTGGTTCAGTCTGATCAAGGGAGTTTGCAATCATTTTTGAGAAGCGATACTGGGACATTGTTCCTTTTATTTTGCAGCCCATCTAGTTACCAAAGAAACCTGTCGTTTCACATAAAATATAGTAAATATAGCTGTGCTTAATTTTTTTTTTTTTTTTTTTGGCTTAAAACTACACACATTTATTCTCATGTAGCTCTGGGGCAGATGTCTGAAAGAGTCTTTTTTTTCCTTTGTTGTCTCATCAATTTGGGAAGATAGACAAATGTACTTTGTGTCTTCTGTGAATAAGATAAAAGCAACAGTATGCCTTTGGAGTCTCTCTTTTAAAGTCATGATGCAGACAGAAGAGCAGAAAGAAAGTCAGTTCTCCCTCTCTTGGGTCTTGCATAGACAGCATATGGTTTTTGTCTCTCGTTTTACAGAAGAGGAAACACGAGACTTGTTGAGTGATTTGCCCAAGGTCTCACACTTAATGAGAGCATCAGAACAAAAACCCCATCCCTTGGCAGAATTGGGCTGACTCCAGAGGCTCCCAAAGATAGTGCAGTTTTATTACCTGCTGCTGCTGTTTCTAAAAAGGGGCTGCCTTCCCCTTAGTACCATGGACAGAAGTACTGGAGACCCTTGGCTATTGGAATCTTTTTGAAGACAGACCATCTCTCTGAGGGACAACTGATTAGAGTGGGAGTGAAAATGACTTTAATCAGGTGAAAGTCACACAGGAGGTCACTGTTTTTTGGGGGGGGTTTTAATTTTAAAAAAATATTTTATTTTTGGCTGCGTTGGGTCTGCATTGCTGTGCACGGGCTTTCTCTAGTTGTGGTGAGCGGGGGCTACTCTTCGTTGCAGAGTGCGGGCTTCTCATCCCGGTGGCTTTTCTTGTTGCAGAGCACAGGCTCTAGGCACGCGGGCTTCAGTAGTTGTGGCGTGCGGGCTCAGTAGTTGTGGCTCGCGGGCTCTAGAGTGCAGGCTCAGCAGTTGTGGCTCACGGGCTTAGTTGCTCCACGGCATGTGGGATCTTCCCAGACCAGGGCTTGAACCTGTGTCCCCTGCATTGGCAGGAGGACTCTTAACCGCTGCGCCACCAGGGAAGTTCAGAAGGTCACTGTTTTAGTGTGGGTTTTGATTCCTTCTTAAAATCAAGGTGTTTTGTCTATAGGTAAATATCAGCTGCATAAACTAAATCTCAAAAATCAAATCAGGAATATTGTAGCTGTAGAAAAGCTTGAGAACTTGACTCTATGTCCCACTTTTAGGAAGAGTTTTCATTCTTTTTGTCCTTAAGACACAGTAGGAAGGTTCTTAGTCTCCTTTAAAGTAAAATGGTAAATAATGTTTCTGGTATAAAATGTTTAATATATAAAATAGGTAAACAGCAAGGTCCTACTGTATAGCACAGGGAACTATATTCAATACCTTGGGATAACCTATAATGGAAAAGAATCTGAAAAAGAGTATATACTGTATAACTGAATCACTTTGCTGTACAACAGAAACTAACAGAACGTTGTAAATCAACTACACTTCAATTAAAAAATTAAAAAATGGGGCTTCCCTGGTGGCGCAGTGGTTGAGAATCCACCTGCCAGTGCAGGCGACACGGGTTCAAGTCCTGGTCCAGGAAGATCCCACATGCCGTGGAGCAACTAAGCCCGTGCGCCACAACTACTGAGCCTGTGCTCTAGAGCCTGCAAGCCACAACTACTGAAGCCCTAGAGCCTGTGCTCCACAACAAGAGAAGCCACCGCAATGAGAAGACCACGCACTGCAACAGAGAGTAGCCCCCGCTCGCCATATGCAGCAATGAAGACCCAACAAAGCCCAAAATAAATAAATTTATTTTTTAAAAAAAAGAAAAAAAAATTTAAAAAAATAAATAAATAAAAGGTACAGAACCAAGAGATACTGTCTCCCCTCACCCCCCCCCCCAAATCTAACCAAATTCCCTTAAAATACAATTTAAGCCAATTAAATCCTCTTTTCTCCTTGGAAGGCATAACTTCATAAACTTTCCATCTCCGTTTCCATGTTGGAAAATGATTCATCTCTACTCAGTTTTCTTTCTTCTGGAACTAGTTGTCCCCACTCCTTTAGCCTTTCTCTTTAGGTCACTCCCCTAACCCTAACCCCACCCCAAGTGCACAACTAGGTACTGATCCCTATTTGTTTTTGTAGACGCTTCAGTTTTACTAAGGTCATTCTAATCCTTTAGTGTATACCTATTTCTACACATTAAACTCATGCTTGAACATTTCACTCAGCAAAGTTGTATTTTAGGATGACAGACCTTTCCTCAGTGTTAGGAAGAAGTAACTTCAGGCATAAAAAGAGGCCCCAAATTAGAAATTCTCATTTCAAATTTGGTTCTCCTTGCAACAGCTCACTTTTCAGTAATTAATTGCATCAGAGACTCTTGGGCTTGGGGATTATGTTTCTTTGCCAGCTTAAATTAGAAGGAAATTATAAGAGAAACAAACACCTGAAATCCAATTTTGAGTCTAAACAAGTCAGGTAGAGAATCTAGAAAATACAGCGCAGGTTACTGATTCTGACAGTTCTGTCCAATTTTTGCTCCTTTACTAAACGTTTCCTCTCAACATTAGGGAGAGATCTCTCTACCCCACCCCCTTTTTTAACAGTGCTATCTAATTAGAATACAGCTAAAGATAAGACAGAGAGGTTAGTGTTGCCAAAAATTTTGTTTTGCTGATTTCTGGAATTTTATCACTGATATTTGATAGTCACCTTTAATTAATAGACAAGGAATTAAGATTACGGATGCTTTAAAATAATTTATATTCAAGCTATTTTAAAATCTAAAAAGAGTATTAAGCTAGTTTTTAGGTATTTAGCGTCTTATGAGATAGAAAAGAAAATATTGCTATAAAATTCAGCAGATGAAGTTTATGCTCATTCGTAAACTCCCATGTTCTCTATCCGTGGAGCGCACTTCTCCTCACCCTCCCCATCCTTCTCTCTTCCTCACCTCTTCTCTCTCTTTTTCTCTCTCTCGAAATGAGTAACGTTAATGTTTTGGTTCCAGGTCTTTACAGTTACTCTGTTGTTGTACTGATGGAAATTTCATCCACCCAGCAGTGTCCAGGGTTATCCTTCGAGCAAGGACCACAGTTGTAACTCCCCAAGGGTAGGGACCATGCCTGTCTTTGCTCAGCATTGGTCTTCCCAGTTCTTAGGACAATGACTGGCACTTAGAGGATGCTTGATGAATATTGTTGAATGAACGTCAGGTTTTAAAAGAGAAAAGGAATAGTTGCAATGTCATCAGATGTATATGAGGTTAATTAGAAATGACTAGATAGTAATATCATTTATTTTTATTTGAAAATAAAATGCCCATGTGTTTTATATTGTTTTCCACCAAATTTAAAAGAATCATGCACTCAGGGAGAGAGATTGGAAGATGATAACAGGCACTCTTGCATATTTACCGATCTTTATAAACAGAATCCTAAAGCTATTTGACAAGAGATTTTCATTTAACTCTCACTATCTTCCTCACTTTCTAGTCAGATCCTCTTCCATGCTTCTCAAAAATGCTAGAAAATAGTAATTGTCAGATTAATTCAGTATTTTACAGACTTACAATATCTAGTGTAATACTGAGAATGGATGTTGAAATCGCGTTCTTTTCACTTTCGCCATTGGGGTATCTTTATTTACGGCCCTTCCTCCCCATAAAATAGCTCAGAAACGTTTTGCAAATCATCGTGTTTATCTGCACTTTGCTCCCCAAGGTGAGGATTGTAAGAACATATGAAACAGCAGCTCTTCTCTGCCTCTGGCTGTCCCTCTACTCATTTAATTAGAAAAGAGAACATCTCCACCTGAAAACTAATCATGAGGAACTAATTAAAAGTCTACTGCACTTCCTTCCATCCTTTCCTCTAAGCCAGGGGAGGAAAGGTTTCTAATTATTAGTGAGTGAGCACAGAAGAAATAAATCTTTTCATCTTGGATGGTAATGGGTTCATGCTCACAGATCTCTGAGGATAATGTACCTTTGTCCACGACAGGTGACAAGATTTAACCAAACTCAGAAAACAAAAACAAAAAACACTAGAAACATGTGAAGGTGAATGCCTTTAACAGTAAAGTGTTTACAACCTGTCTCAACAATGCAGTTGCTATAAGGAGCTCGTGGCTGACTTTTGCTTCATTTCTGTAGGACTCTGAAGAGGAGGAAAATGATCTAGAAGCTCTTAACCGGAAGCTGATAAGTTCACAGCCTTATGTACCTGTAGAGTTTGCCGACTTCAGCGTTTACAACGCCACCTTGGAGAACAGAGAGTGGTTTTCTTCTAAAGTCGATTTGACGAACTCAAAGGTCCTGGAGAAAGAAGTGTCCTGCAGCCCCACCACCAGCAGCATCACCAGTGGCTACTTTTCCCACAGTGCCTCCAATGCCACCCTGTCTGACATGGTGGTCCCTTCTAGTGACAGCTCAGATCAGCTGGCCCTTCAGACAAAGGATGCAGACTCCAGTGAGCATCCCGGAGCATCACTTGTGCATGACTTCAGACCATCCTCAAACAAAGAGTTGACAGAACTAGAAAGAGGCTTGGTAAAGGATAAGATAACTATGGTGCCACTCAAGGAAAACAGTGCCTTACCCAAAGGGAGCCCGTCATCCCAAAGCATCCCTGAGAAAAACTCCAAAACCTGCTGTAGGACCAGCTCATGTTCAGAACAAGATGCCTACTCCGGCAAAAATGGCCAGCCGGCCAGGGAATTCTGCCCCAGGGAGGTGACCATAGAACACACCACAAACATCCTCGAGGACCATTCTTTCACAGAGTTTATGGGTGTGTCAGATGGGAAAGATTTTGATGGTTTGACAGATCCTTCTGCTGGAGAACTTTCGAGTAGGAGGAACCTACCAAATACAATGGACAGTAAGAGTGTCTCAGATGGGCCACAGGACCCTGGCCAGCTGTGTTCCTCGGCAGAGAGTGACCAGGTGATAAATTCCAGGGGCAGTCTTTCGGGTCCTGTGCTATCAATGAGTACACCTAATTGTGCCCCAACTGCCAGAGGCCCTTCATCGCAGTGACTTAGTAGGAGAGATTCATTCAGATGTTTCTGACAGGGACAATGGGCCCACTTGGGGACCAAGTTCACATGCTGCCCAGCTGGCTGGCTATGGCGGAGCAAGTCTGCTTTCATAGTTTCCGAGTGGGGTTATGACATATGTAGGACCAGCATATGGGTTCATGTTGAATTAAGTGTTCACCTCCTTAAGGGTCAGTCAATCTCGTGTTCACTCCCCGAGATGTTTAATTACGGGCTCTCCCAAGGTATCCTGGTAGCATCTACCATATTTCATCACATCTGTGATTTCTTTGATTATTAGATACGCTATTATTTTATGTATCATTAAAGCAAATACTTCCAATTAAACTATATCATATCAGCAGTTTCAGAGATGTTAAAAAGCATGGGGGGGGGTGAGGGAGAGATGCATCACAGATTTGATAAAATACATCCATTTGGTGCCCATAGCGTAAAAAATGCTTTGGGGAAGCATAGGTGAATTCCCTGAGCAGTTTAAGTGTGGGCTTTGGAAGTTACCCAGGTTGTTTTATTACAGTGTTTAATTTTCGTATTGGAACAAAATGGGTTTTTGCTAATATTCCTAAGGAAAATAGTGAATTATATAATTAAGAGTACCACCATCTCTTCCCATTCAGTGTCACTGTTTTGATCCCACACCGTAGCCATAGCTGTGGAAGGAGTATGGGAGCGCCAGTCTCAGCAAAACAAAGAGCTGACAGAATTAGAAAGCAGCTCAGTGAAGGAGCAGATAATCAGCGTGCCCGTCTGTCTCTCTGGGTTTTTTTTGTTTGTTTGTTTTTTTAACATCTTTATTGGAGTATAATTGCTTTACAATGGTGTGTTAGTTTCTGCTGTATAACAAGGTGAATCAGTTATACATATACATATGTCCCCATATCTCTTCCCTCTTGCGTCTCCCTCCCTGTTTTGCTGAGGAAGTTATCATCCCAGTTTGCTGGCTTCTTCCCCCAAGTCTTCCATACTAGCCCATAAAATTTCAGTGTGTGGTCATTTATACAGCATATTCGTAAGTAAACTGCAAAACACAAATAGTGGGGTATCTTACTACTCAGAAAAGACTTCTTTCCCCAACATAAGAATAAAACAAAGTTACTCATTACTGTTCTTGCAAGCTAAACAGTCATTTGTTTAAAAGTCTTCAGCTTCCTTTATACTGATTTTAAGCAGAATCTGCTTTGCTGGCCTACATCAGCTTTTTAGTCCTTCCAAGAAGTCCAGGAAAAATGTGGTCCAGGGGTTAATTCTTCACCCTGGAACAGTGCTTCTCAAACCTAAATGTGCAATAGACCCACTGGGGGATGTTGGGAGAAGATGCCTCTTAAAAACACGAATTCCCAGGAGTCGCTGCCCTGCACACCTAAGGTTTTGCTTCAGTCCCCGTTGGAGCGGGGCGAGGGGTGGTGTGGGGATAAGGTTTTCACAAACCCCTCTGCTGAAGGGATACAGGGTAGGGTGTCTGAGGGCTGCCCTGTTAGAAGCACAGCCTGGCCCACAGAAGGGGGAAGAGGGGCAGCAAACTCCCCCTCACCCCCGCCTTGTTTTGTTGCCTGGATTATTTAGAACCCAGTAACAGGAACACTACCTGATTTTTGCTTTCGAAAGGTTCCAGAATAGAATAGTGTGTCCCTGCCAAAGGTCTTGGTTTAAAAGTGGAGTTTACAAAAAACATTTGTTGTATCAGGGTAATGTGGGATTATGGTGAGGTTTTTTTTTTTTTTTTTAATTGCCTTAGTATTTTTGTTATCTTGGTTTTAATTTGTTTTGACAGTGTTAAAAGTCTGAGCACTTTTTAAGCACTCAGGTTTGACTTTTGTTCTCACCCTGGTATGACTTAGAGTGTAGACCCAGCAATGACATTTTTTTTTTACTTTAACTTTAGGTCTTGCTGTCTGTCATTACTTTTCTTAGAATCTTGAGCCTTGGAGCTAGGTTCGTCCCTTGTGTAGAGTATATTCTAGAACTGGATCCCATAGTCAGCCAGATCCTGCAGGTCCCTCTAGGAAGAGCCCCTCGTGGGGGGATGGTCTCTGTGGGTGGGGAGGGCAGGGACAGGAGCTTGCACTCACCAGCCTCTGTGTTCCAGGGGAGCACGACCGCTCCGTGAGAGGCAGCAAGCCAGAGCACCAGCCCATCTTTAAAACGTGCTGCGGCCCAGCCGGACCTCACACCAGCGCAGAGAAGCCGTGGCTTCGGGAGCCACCTCCTTTCCCCTCCCGAGCCGGCAGAAGCCGCGCTTTGTCACTCGGCTGAATCGGCAGCCTCTGCTTTCTTCCAGAGAACCGAAAATCCTGGCTTAATGAAGTGGCAGTATTTTTGTGTGCACTCACTACACACCCACACTGTGTAGAAACCTCCACAGATTCAAACAAACTTTATTCTTGTACAGTTTTAATCAGTTCTTACTGTAGAATCTGGAGTCAATGCTCTAATTTTTTTTTATAAATAGTATATGTTATGTATATGAAATGGTATCTATAGTATGTCTGGAGACAGACAAGTCTGCACACTAAAATGGGGAGAAAAGTGGTTTGTAGAAAATCAGAAGGTACTGGACTTCGTTCCAAAGCAGCTTGGGCGATCTCTCAGAACAGGAGCAGATGAAAAAGATTGTGTTGCCTAAGAATGAGGTTGTAAATCCCTCTTTGCAGCAAAGGTTACAGAATGCCGTTCTTTATAACCAAAGAACTTACATAAGACTGAATGTTTTTGCTGTCCACTCTTGTTTTATGTGTACATACGTGTTTGACTGCAAGTTTGGTGCCATACGCCCCTTGGCTCCCAGGCCACGTGCTGCCGTTCTCTGTCCTGTTTCGTAAGCACACTGAAAAATCTCACAGCTCCGTTCTTTGGTCTTCCACCCGGCCTGCCGCCTGCTGACTTGCCGTGGAATTGGAACCATTGACAATGACTGGGGCTCTGACCCCAGCGTTTCTGGTCCCTTGGTCCAGGCCATCCAGGCAGGTGGGATGCAGAGAGCAGTATTACTGTAAGAAAACACAGGGACAAACCAAGAGATGGGTTGCGGGGAGGGGGTGTTGACTTTCGTCTCTTTGTGGTTTTGTTTGGGGTTGGTAGGTTTTGTTGTGGTGTGGTTTTGCCATTGTTGTTTTACTTCAATTTTGGAAAATGCTGAAGGGATGGAATGAGCTATAAAGTTCACAGGTGCCCACTTCACCGTGTTCGCAGGAGATGATTGAATACAGATGACCCTGCTGTCCGTGTCTTCATTTGTAAAATTCTGTTACCGATGGAGACGCTGAAGGATTATGTGTGTGGAAGTTTTTACAAAAGTACTTTCTGTACCTATTGTGTAGATGCCTGTACAGTTGGTCCGGATGTACAGCAATAAATGTGTCGTGGGAGCGAGAGAGTGTGTACAGCCTGCTGTACCTTTTCCCTTTAAGTTCTTAGCATCAGTAAATGAGTAAGATATTGGAGATTTTAATGCAAAGCTGCTGTTTGTGATTTTTGTGTATAGTGAGCTGACTGTAGTATTTTACTATTGTCTGTTTAAAAAAAAGAAAAACTGTAATTTATGTCCCTTTCAACTTTATTGTATTTAATTGGTACAGATTGTGTGTGTGTGTTTTAGAATACAGACTGTCTAATTCCGATTTTAAAACATATGTTGTTTGTCTTTAATTACTCTGCCACTAGTTTCGGATCAATTTTCCATATTTGTTTGTGTGCGTGTCCCTGTAGCTTAAACAATAATAGTAACAGCAAACATTCATTGAGGGTTTACTGTGTACTAGGCACTGTTCCCAACTTTTGATATAGATCTCGCTTAATCCTCACAGCAGCGGATGCCATAGGTTCTGTTGTTATTAAGTGTTGGACAAAAGGAAAATGGAGGTGGAGAGGTTGGTGACAGGCAGCAGGAGGCAGAGCCAGGATTCAGCCCACGCTTCCATCAGTGTCTCCTGGTGTTCTGTCTGGTGACGTGTCATGGGGGGATAGGCCTCTTAAGGGAGGACTGGGCACCTTCAGAGAGCGGAAGGCAGTGGTGAGTGTCCCAAGTCCAGACTGACTGACATTAGAGGGGAGCACCTGCAGCAGACAGGCCAAGGTGGGTTACACGTGGTCACAACAATCAAGCACTTCTTTAGAGGAAGCAGCAGGGCCTGCCACCCTGGAAACAGTGGCTCAAGGTAGCTTAATGTGAAAGAGTTATCTAAAAATGGTTTTCCAGAATCTTTCCAGAAAAGATTAACAAGAGCCTTTCTGATGTGGTCAGGAACTAGGTCTAGCCTGTTCTCGAAAGAGATTGACTTACATAGACTCCCAGGAAAAAGTAGGTGGGGGGAAAACCCAAATTATTTGAATTTTATGGAATGGAAGTTGGGGCAGGAAAGCAGCTATTTAATGTTTAAATAAATCATGACAACCACAAATACAGTTTAAGACAAAATGAGCAAATTGTCATTCCCTTTACTAGTATGAGATCAGTGGTATTTGGTCATGGACATTGTCATTTGTCATTGACTATGGGAGAGCACACTGGTTTTAGAACATACTGGATAGTTAAATATAGGCGTGTGTTTACCAGTTAATTTCCAAAGTACGGTATTACTGCTGTCATCACATTTGTTTATCATTATTTGGACACACAGTTTATCATAGCAAAAATTTAGCCCTGCATTTCTAGGGTACCAACTTATGGGAAGAATAACTGTTCATAAAAAATACCTTCAGGGTAGGTAAGGGCCAGATATGATCTTCCAAAAATCCTTCTCTAGCCAATACTTACTTTGAAAGTTACAATATTCAAGCTTTAGAACTATGTTGGGGAAGAAAACGATAACTAATTACATGATTAATCTTTAAAAAGTAAAGCTTTCCGGTCATGTAAATTTGAAAAGTCTTGAAAGAAGATGTAATTGAATAAGAGTTCTTGCTTTCTTTTCTAGACCAAGAGCTAACAATAGAAAAGGATGCTACCAGTACACAACCACGTAGAGAGATTTTTGTTTTCAGCCTTGAACTTACTGCACTAACACTAGGGCAGGTGTCTTTCTGTAATACTGCGCCTACCTCCTAAATTAGAAAACAGCAACAGGAAGTCAGTCTGTAATTCGTAGCAGTTTGTCTCAGGTTTTCTCCTAACCTGGGGGAAAGGCAGTCTGTTCTCATGCCCAGACATCTGGGGGTGGACAGCATCCTACTGGCGGGGGAACCTGGAATATGGAAGACTCCTCGAGAATGCCAGGAGACAAGTTCTCCCCTTTAATACATTATGAACTGGAGCTGACGGGAGTGGAAAAATCCCAGAGTCTTCTATTTAACCTGCTTGTCATTTGTTTCTAATCCCCTGAGCTGAGGGGAAAGATAATTGTAGATTTGAGGGCCACTTAATGGTCTTTTTTTTTCTCGGACACTGTGAGTTAATTTAAGTTGAAATAAAACTCAGTCTTCATCTTTCTGATGTTCTGGGACACACACTCACCACTGTGTATTTTTGGAAAAACAAGTTATTCTCTCCTTTGTGAGGGGTGCCTGTATCATTGCATTCAGTTCTTAGAAGACTGTAGCTCGAGAAGATGCTTGGGGTGCCTCAGTCACTGTAATCTGAGCCCAGTTGGCAACGGCCGCCATCTTCGAGCTGATTATTGTAGGTTTCTCGTTGCCAGATTGTGTCCCTGAGAAAGGAACTCTCGAATCTTTGTGGGACCCTATTTATGAAGACATTGAGAGGCTGATTAATAGAACAATGAATGTTTCACAAAGAAAAAGGTAAGTTAGAATTGGAGTCTGTGAAAGAAGATCAACTCAGAAAGGGGTCCAGTTTGGTTTGGGGAAGAGTAGTACAAACCAACTTGACCCTTTCATGATACCTAAAACGCTTGTAACTATTTACATTTTAAAACCAGAAGACACTGGTGTTTATAGCAACTTTATCTGCCTGAACCAAATCACATAGAGATGTTCTTAGGTTTCTTTGTTATTGTCTTTTCTTGGTCTAGCGTGCCACACCTTCATGTAATTGGTCACACTTGTTGAATCAGCATAATCTTTACCAAGCATATATACCAACGACAAATAAGCCACTTAGAAACAAGCTACTTAGAAACACCAGAGTTAAAATACTTAGTCACAGCAAAAGCCAAGAAAAGAGCAATTCACCGAGAATGATGATTTAAGATCTAACCTCAGTACTGCTGGCATCCAAGGGTGTCTTAATGACGATATGAGAAGGCCAAGTCACCAACGTTTATTTCCTGGTCCTTTTATATGTAGCTGTATATATTTGTGAGAAAGCCAGTGCATTAATATTAGTTACCTATTGCAAAATAAACTGCCCTTAAACTCAGCAGCTTAAAGCAACAGTAAACATTTATTATCTCACAATTTCTGCAGGTGCAGAATTCCGGCGTGGACAGTTCTAGGCGGTTCTGCCTCCAGCTGCTCATGAGGCTGCAGTCAGGATATCAGCCAGAGCCACAGTTATCTGAAGGCTTGACTGGAGCTGGGAGGACCCACTTTTCGGGTGGTTCTGTCACACAGCTGGTGAGCTGCTGCTTCCTCGCCATACAGACCTCTCTGTGCTGCTTGAGTGTCCTCATGACAGGATGGTTGGCTTCCCCCGGGTGAGCAGCTCTGGAGAGTAAACACAAGCCACAAAACCTTGTATGACCTCATCTCAGACGTCACACTTTGTCACTTCCACCATGTTCTATTCATTAGAAGTGAGTCAGGAATGCAGGGGAGGGAATTGGGCTCTTCCTTTTGAAAAGAGAACATCTAAGAATTTGTAGACATATTTTAAAATGACTGTAATTTGTTAGGAGTTACAGGGCTGAGGCCATGGGCCAAAGCAAAGCAAAGCTAACTGGAACCTATGAGTGAATGTAGAAATCCAACTCAAACAGTAAGGTCAAAAGGAAAGCCACATTTCCATGGAATAAAAAGTAAAAATACTAGGATTATCTGAATATGTGAGTTATAGCCAATAATCATACTGCACTAATATTTCTGGTAGAGGCAAATGATTGGGAACTATTAACTATGCTTCTATTTATAGTTATATTTTCACATTTGATTCTTTTCAGATTTGCTTCATTAGAGGTACAATGAATAGATTTTATGGCTTTGCACAAAATAGAA